CCATAGCCCACCCTTCAAACCGAAACACAGCAATGCAAACACAACTGCTTCACGGTAGAAACACGAATGAGACAGAGGTACCCAAGCAATCGACTTTTGTACAAAGTCTCCCTCTGGTATAAGAACTTATAAAAATGTATAATCATTATCATCATACCAGTCTTTAACTGTCCACTGATGAAAATAAGCCCCTCCCTTGGGGAGTTCTGCCAGTAGTTCTACGCTTGGCAGGCGCAGGCAACCGCAGTTAGACTTTAAAGATGTTTTAAGAGGGGCGCTGCTACCCATCTTTCGCCTTTCCTTACTCGCCTCTTACAATACCCACGGGGAAGGAAGGGGTAGCCTATTCTATGCCGGGACAACACGGCCAGAAATTTATATTACCAGCTTAGTAATATGAGCTATATTTTATAATATTAAAAAAAACGTGCAATGCCCGAACAAGTCACTAGTTAAATAATAAAAACGCCTAACGTATAGCTAAAATAAAGAAAAGTGACTGTGAAATAATAAATTTTCATTATATTTATTCTAGCAATGTAATAAGATTCGAATGCCAATAAATTAATCCCCCAAATGATTTATTCTTGAGGGAATTTCATTTATACCCGGATTCTATTCAGGGAAAATGAAATTCACGGTCCATCAATTTGTTGGATGAAGTTAAATGATTAATGGTTTCTAAGGTGTTGTACTAAATCAAAAGGTTCATTCACAATAATTATTTTGAGACATAATTAGTGATTTGTGTTAATGAACACTGAATTGGTTCAATTTTTAATAATAAATGTAAGTGTAGCATAATCACATATCCTGTGTTTTTTCTTTAATGGATGATAATGAAATGGTAACGCCTGCGCTATCGGTACACACTGGTGGGGCACCAGAAAAGGATGATAGGTGAGGATGAAGCAGGTTAGTTAGCCCGTCGTGACGAATTCAACAAGAATTGTTTACGATAGTTTCCAGGGGAAACCACGTGGGAGATGACCTAATAGGGCATATTGCTAGCAATGGGGCTGTCAAACTCCATTGCTAACAATCCCTTTCCCCCAACACATATCCTATATTGTAAGGATCCAGAAAACCTAAACTCAAATCAATTGAGAAACAGATGGGCCGTCAGCTTGTTTGCCATTCTAAGTTGTATAAAAAAAATTCGGTTTATAAATTGGTCCGATCGGGAATCGAACCCGGGACCTCATTTCCGCAAAGCAATGTGCTCACCACTGCACCACCTAAAGTCATCGTTTTGAGGTTTTTTTATTAATATGAATCACTTGTTTTCATTTTTAAATTAACTTAAAAAGGACATTCTAAATTCGATATACTGCATTATTTTGTTTATCTTCGCCAATTTTGAACTGATTTTGACAATTATCTTTCCACAATCTGAATGGAATTCACTCTCATATATATTAATTATTAAAAAGACCATACTATTAATATTGTCCCGATTGAAGTCGTAATCTATTTTGCAAGGTAAAGTCTTAAATTGATTGATTTTGACAAATCAAAATTCATTAATTGATTGAACGTTACGATTTGTTACTAATTTCATTTAGACAGTTTCTTTGAAAGGAGAGTGAAAGCGGGAAACAGTGTTTGTGCCCTGTTCTCAACTATGGCAAGCAAAAATATATTGAGCAAAACTCGCCTTGTCAATTCAGGGAGTATTGACTGCAACACTCATGTATGAAAGCGAATCGTGAGTATGGCAGAAGAGGCATGAAAGTAATATTGTGGTTATCTCTTGTTTATATTTATCATTTACTATTGTAATCTTTTGGAGGAAACAATAAAGAGTCTAAAAAATAATATATATATATATATATATATATATATATATATATATATAAAATATAATAAAATATAATATATATAAAATAAAAGATCTATCTATCTAATATTAATACTGTAGAAATGAGAGTTTTGAGTAGTATGTGTGGTATTACAATAAAAGATAGAGTAAGAAACAGTGTGATCAGAGAGAAATATGGACTGAAAGATGATGTAGTGATAAAAATCGAAAAGGGAATGTTGCGTTTGGCCATTTGGAGAGGATGGATGAAAGAAGAATTATGAAAGAGATGCTAATGGGAGACAAGCGTGACAGATGTGTATATAACATATATACAGTGTTTCTGTTATAGTTTCAACAAGACATGGCTATATTTACATTAAGTTCTATCGAGACACATGCGCGTTCCTTTTTGAAGTCACGTATGCAGCGTCGTCTCCACTTAAGTGCAAAAGATAAAGTAGTTAGTCATTTATTCACGAGATATGGGGTTCTCTTCTTTTTCCTTTGTCTAAGTCATTGTTCATTTACTGTCAATCGATGAAACGAATAGCATGTTCGTGACTACTTTATACAGAGAAGGGGAAATAAGGACCTGGGAATGTAAGATAAATAAATCATACTGCTATCTTAGTTGCCAATCCGCCTGCCAAGCGTAGCAACTACTGGCAAAACCCCTTAAGGCCTAAATTTAGTAGTGAATGGTTAATAGCTGACATGATGATGACGTCTATGAATGAATGAATCAGTATACTTTATTTGCATTATACAACCAGAGGGAGACTTTGTACAAAAGTCGATTGCTTGGGTACCTCTGTCCCATTCGTGTTTCAACCGTGAAGCAGTTGTGTTTGCATAACTGTGTTTCGGTTTGAAGGATGGGATATGGCGTGAATTTACTGGGTACAGAGGAATAACACCTGAGTCCTCAGGAATGGCAACGCATGGGGGGTATCATGGGCGAAACAGTATACTCTATTATGTCCATGGTACTGCTCATGTCTATAGGCGACGGTTACTACTTTCCATCAGGTGGGCCGTCAGCTTGTTTGCCATTCTAAGTAGTATAAAAAAAAAAAAATAATAAAAAAAAAAAAAAAACAATATAGAAAATAAGCAAGACAATTAACAAACACGATACAATTGTATAAGTATTGTACAAGTCTATATATAAGTATAACCGGAAATTTTAGAAACTTTTAAACTTTAAGGATTGCTTTCAGCAATAACTCCACCTTACTGTGCTTATACAACTGTATTGTTACATTTATTAATTGTCTTGCTCATTTCCTATATTGTATAATGCAAATACAGTATATTCATTCTTTCATTTTATAAACTTATTATGTTTGTTGTTTCCAACAATTATTTCAACTTTATCTAGAAGTTTTCTTTTCGCTTAATTTAATTAGTAAATAAGTTCATATATATATATATATATATATATATATATATATATATATATATATATATATATATATATATATATATATATATACATGATTAAAAAATAAACATAAGTTTCAAAAATATATCTATTTCTATGAACATTACTAAGTAACAAAGCTAATTTGCTTTCTACAGAGTGAGTTTATGCATTTGTGTTAAATAATGTAATTGTCGCCTCAGTGAACCCAAGTAATTACTCTTTTACGTAAAGTTTGCACGTTTATTGCTGCAATCCATTCGAAAACTTTTGATATCTACTCAGCAGTTAACAACGTACCAACGGTTATTTGCTAACTCATTCCATTAGCAGTCCAGTAGTTTTGAAACAGTTTTACGCGGAAAAGGTAATGTTTAGGTAATTAAAAAAACAATGTTCATATTAATAAACAAATATGGTTAATAACAAAAAAAAATAATAAAAAAAGTCTTTTCGTTGATATATGAAAAAATCTTGATACACAATGAAAAACAAAAAATTGGCACTAAATATAGAACGCATTTATTAAGTAACTAAATTTAATTCGTGGTATCGAAATATTTTTACAAATTTTCTAAAAAAAATATAATATCTTGCTAGACACGATAATGATAATAAAGGTAGATTTACACAGTTCTTAATTCTAAATTAAATTATTCAATATAATGTAAGAAATGAATATTATCATTTCAGACGTGTAAATGGGAATCAAATATGGCGGCGTGGTGGGTTGAGTCGTTGCGCTCTTTATAATATGGTTGAACACAACGATAGCTGGCTCATTCGTCATGCTCGTGAACGGGTGCTTCTAGTAAGGACTGGCCTGTTCAAGAATACTTTTCATTTTCTATCTTTTTATCAATACAAATTTTGTGATTGTTATTTTATCCATTAATTTTTTTTTTGTTGTAAACTTAACCAGTTCCTATCAGCTGAAATTGCATTCCGATTTGGAAGTTAGATTCATAAAAAAATGACTATTTAATGACAAATATACTTATTATTAGGTTTACTGTAAAAAAAAATAAAAAACTAAAAATTGAAAATAATGCCGTTATCATAATGACAACGCTACTATCAGCCATCAACACCCCTCTACTCGTTGACATTGATGCTGCTTTCCATTTTGGAAACCCAAAATTAACTGTACAAGAGTTCTCTTTCAGCAAACGCTGAAAGAGAACTCTTGTACAGTTAAGCTCGCCTTTGTACATTTGCTTTCTACTGATTTATATCTTTATATTATTATTAGTGTGTACAGTAAAGAACTAATCAAATAAATAAAAAAAAATGTTAGAGACGACACTGGTTTTAAATTTTGTTTTTAAACATAGTTATCTTTCTTTTTGTAATGTCTTATTATTTGAATCGATGTTTATTATATGGTGATCTATGGTCAGTAAATCTACATCATATATTAAAGTTTCTTCAGGGTTGGCAACGCGCATATGACACCGTAGTGTTATAGGCGTCCATAGGTTACAGTGACCGTTTACCATCAGACGGACTGTATGCTTTTTATCACCTTAATGGTATAAAAAAATCATTGGTCATTAATTTGTACGTTTTCCATTGGTTTGCATTCTTAAAATACATTTGAACCAAATAATAAAAAAAAAAAAAAAAACTATTACAATATAAATTTAAACTAATTTTTGAACAGCAATAAAACAAGCACAGATTAATACCCACATACGTACTGCTGTTCCAAAAATATGACACGTCATCATTCGTTTACGTCAACATTCACGACGACAATAAAACGACTTTAAGTGTTTCATACACTTTATTGCTTCACGGATATTATTCTCCATAAAATCTCAAACAACCACGTTTATAACGACGAAACGAGCGGCGGCCCCGCGGGACAGGGGCGCCTGTAGACTATACGAGGCACTGAGAGATAGGAATCACAGATTGACAGAGCTTAGAAGATAGAGGACATCAATAGAGGAAACTGGAGGGGGGCGGACGAGGCGAGGGCGCGGGCCTGGCGAGCCGAGGGTGGAATGCGCCGAGAGCTGCTTCGTTAGTTGAGGAAGGTCGCTCTTCACGCACCCTTATCTGTGGCAGACGCCACGCAGCACACGCGGACGTCAGCGCATGTCGATTCAACACCCAATATGCGACTGCATTTAATGCAGAGTGAGCATATCCGAACAACAGCGCGTACTGCCTAAGCAGCAAAGGTGCGTGGAGTCCGAAAGCGCTGCATATAACTATAGCTGCATGGGGGCACCAGCATAAAGCGAATACTGCAGCGATACCCATTAGGACGTTGCCGAGACGTCGTCGGGACCGCAACGTCGAAGTCTGCGGTTGGGGACCGAGGAGGCTCGGTTGAAGTTTCTTCTTGCTTCTAACGTCGCCTACGTCAACAGCGTCACGGCGTTCTCTGGGCCCTACACCCGCAACTATGATGACGTGTGTGGGTCGTCGCATCAGGGGGACGGGTAGCGGGAGCTCTCCGTGTGCAGCCCGTGCAGTGAGGGACAGTGCGGTCAATTTGACCCGTACCGCCCAATGACATCTTGCAACGGCTATGACTGGGAAACAGTAGGTGAGTAGTGCGTGGACCGCAGCCAGAGGCGGGCAGGAGACGCACATCGTTGTAACGGCAGTTGCTCCTGTTGACAAAAAGGATGCGTTGAAAAGAAGAAGTCAGGTTTAATTTCTTGAGAAAAAGGAACATGGTGGAAAGAAGTGATAGTAGTCTACTGCCAAGACTGAACAGGAGTTAAAATTTTATAAATCTGAAGCCCTTCTGTCCCAGAAAAGCATTAACCCATACACGAACATGCTCTACACAAAGAATGATAACAGCGTTACAAAATATAGCCTTCACTGCGGTCTTGAGTGATGCGAAGATGCTTTATATGCCATATTATACTCTCTTAAGCACTCTTCAGTAAGGGTGAATTATAACGAATCTAATTAATCAAAGAAATGGCGGTAGGCTCGTCCCTTGCCACAATCAATAAAAATAATATATGCTCGTGTAATGAAGGCGAGTGCTCCATATAATATTACGGTCGTTAGTTAGCCATAAATTACAACGTAAAAGAAACTTTTAAACATTAATAGATATTAAATATATTTATTTAAACACCTTTGGATATTTTTGCGGTTAATAATAGCCGCCTATAAACATTATACTGTGGACATCATAAAATAAACTGTGGCGATCATAATGCCCTTAATTCCAGAGGCCTAAGCTGTTATATCTCTTTACCGTAATTTCATTTTTAAAGGTGGGATACCTTTTAAACTAAAACATTGCCATGCAAACACAGCTGCTTGGACATAGTTATCAAAGAAGATGATTTTTGTACAGTTATCCTCTGATAACTAAATATACTTGTAAAAGATATACACACAAACATACGCACGCACATACGCACGCACACACGCACGCACACACGCACGCATACACGCACGCACACACGCACGCACACACGCACGCAAACACATATCAATATTACATACTAGATTTTTTTTTGTATATAGATTACAACAATGTTGTATATGTATATAGAACTATAACTAAATTGTAACTTGGGAAGGCACTGACTTCTGACATACAGTTAATGCTAGTTTGGGCGCCAGGACTACATGTAATTTTACTGTTTATAGTTCAATAAATAATTTTTATTAATAATAATGTAAAATGAATAACTATGTTTATGACTATGATAGTAGCGAGAGGCAGCGATCTGTTACCGTCGGTCGGTGCCGTGCGTACGTAGCAATATTAAACCTGTTCATGTTTCGCTGAACATAATACGAGATGAGATCAAGAAATACTTTTTATTTATATTTTCTTCTCCATTTCTATCAGAATAATATCGAATTACGATCACAAATTCCGACTCATTCTGGTCAAGCATATTTAGACTCTTTTGTCGTGACTGCAATTAAATTATGAAACACAATTCCTTATGAAATTAGAAACAGCCCAAGCATTGGGATTTTCAAATCGCGTCTGAAGTCTTACCTTTTACAATGCTAATGTATGTACTTATTACATTTGTATATTATATATTATATATATTTATCTCTTTACATATAAATTACTGATATATAATTAGATTTTTTTTGTGTGTTCATACCTGTCTGTGTTTTCAATTGTACCGATATTTTATATATTTATTTTTAACAATAATATTTAAGTCGATCGGTAAATATACATATATGCCTGTAACTACGAATAAACTATCAGTTTACCTCATATTAGGATTACTGAAAGAAATCTGTTTTAGAGATAAACTCACCCTTGTGCTCTATTATGTATAATTAATAATTAATTAAGTATATATTTTTTTATTTATAATGCCTTTTGTGTACAATAAAAAATAAAATCAACCTCACCTAATACTAAAGCTGTAATCCATACAGCGACAACAGCGAGCGAGGGTCTTGCACAGAGCGATCCGTTACCGCGCCGCACTGCGCCGCACCTGTCCGCTGCGATCGCGACCAGCGATAACGTGCTCGCTGCTACGGGAAATGACTGTAGTAAAAAAGTATTTTATAATTATTATCTATTAAAGGCCACCGATGAAATTTTATTATACTTTGAGAATAAACTGAAAGTAAATTTAAATGGAAAAGGGTTTGCCTTTTATTTTTTAAGTAATGAATCCCGCCTGAGTTAAAAGTAGACATCATTCGCTAGTACGAGTATATCAGTGAATAGTAACAGCTGCGAATGAAATCACGATGGTTCATCGACAATTAGCTAAGATAATTTTTAAGGAGAACGACGTGGAGGTCAAGTGGATAGTGTATATTCTTAGTAATTGATTCTCTAGGACGTCTGCTTTCCATCTAATAATTATCGCCTAATGGCAAAATTGAATGGAATATATTATACGTGAAGCCAATTATATCTTTCATAGATTTCTACTCTTGTGGGCTAAAGGTATATACTTCATGGGTCACAGACAAGATAAGGCGTAATATCTATTGCCATATAAGTTTTTAAAAAAATCCTAATATTCCTATTATAACTTCACATAGAACATAACATAGTGACCTTATTCGGGCGTGTCAGCCAATTTTGTAGCGTAAGAGACAGACACCTCTTTTCACAAAGTTCACATAAATATATGCAGGATGTTTTACCTCTATATAAAATACAACGTGGCATGGGAGATGATGTATTTTTGCAACTCGTGTAGCGGCCAGCGGCGCGCTAGCAGCACACACGAGGAAGTCCGCTGCGCATGCGCTGAGCAGTTGAGGAGTTCGCAATCGGGACGCACCGCCCGACGCTAGCGCAGCCATTAAGCTCACATTTCCTGCACATAACGTTTTATTATTCAACTTGAAATTGTAAACAAGTTGCTTCTTTATCTGAGGGTAAATGGTAACCATCACATATAGATATGGATATCACAGAATACATTGTGGTGCCCATGTGGTGCTTAAGCGTTGTCATTGCTGAGGACTAAGGTGCTATGTTCCATACCTTAGAATTTTACTGCCATATCTCACTCTCTAATGTTCTTTATTCGATTATAAAATGATATAAGTATTATATTAGTAGTATATAAAAAAGGAAATTAGAAATCCGCCCCAGTTTCGCACGGTTAGATAGAAAGATAAATTAGTATTTTATAATAGATTTAATAGGCAAATTTTTGATACTTTGGATTATATTATTGTAATTTTTGTAAGGATTTTTATTTTATTTAATTAATATATAGCCTTCACTGATAATGTCCACAGTTGAAAGAATTTTTAAAATTAGTTGAATAGTTTTTCAGTTTATCCATTACAAGTAAATAAGTAAACACCCAAAAAATAATATATATATTATCTTTATATCATTGAAAATAGATTAAGGTGCTTACACTAATCTATCTACTAGATGAAGCACTCGATTCTGCCTACCCCTCAAGGAAGCTGGCGTGAGGATAAACAGATAATCTCACCAATAATCCCTATAGCTGATACGAGTATGTAGAGCGCGATGAGTGCGGCGACCGTGTGCGCACGCGTCTCCTCCGCGCCCGTGCCCGCGTCCGCTCCGCCGTCATCGCTAATGTTGTACATCACGCCGCATCCTTACGTACTGTCAACAAATAAAACGTTTATATGTATGCATTTTTTGAGTTAAACAGTTTTGTTATACGATTGAGGTGGCAAATAAGTATAAGGCCTATCTGATGGTAAGCGGTTATCGTAGCCTATGAACGTCAGCAATACCAGGGGAATTATATGTGCGTTGCCGACATTGAATAAACCCGTGCTGAAGACATGGAAAAGTTTTGGATATTTTGTATTTTGTTTGTATGTTATTTTTGTGATAAGTACAAATAATTTAAGTAATTACATATTTCCATATATAGGGGATAATAATCACATATTACAATATTATAGGGGAGACTGGGGATACTTGATCCTTATCGGAGACTAGGTACACAAGATTTACACAACATTTGTGTGGAATATATAGTTTTGTAGTAGTAACATCGACAGTCTATGACACCCGTTAACTTTCTAACGTTGATACATCGGTAAAATTTGACACTTTTGCAAATGGCGTACTATCGACTGATTCGTGTTGGAAAAAGATATTTTTCGTAAGTTTTAATTCTTATTTAACAGTTATTTAGGAAATATATTCATGATACCTATGCAGTGCACATTTTTAAATGATGTTCACACAGATTTAGTATAGCGTACTTTATAATCTAAGGGTTTTCATATACCATTTTTATATTAAGTGTTGTATTGTAACATACTATATTAAAACTGTTGATGTACCAATAAATAATTTAAATGCGTATCGGTTAGGAGCCTGGTGATCTGTATGTAGGCTATAACAAGGCTATAAAGATAACAGATAGAGTATCGAGATTTAAAAACGGGTCAACTTTTAGTCAGCTACCTGTCATATTAGCCGACTTGTTTTTTTTTGTCAGTGTTACTAATTATTTCATATTAATTAGTAGTACACTAATTAATTAAGAATTAATTAGTAGTACACTAATTAATTAAGAATTAATTTGTGTACTACTAATTAATTCTTATACTTACGCATAAAATGTATCTTAACGTATTTAATAAATAAAATGAGTGTTTACACATTAAAAAGAGGTACAAATTATAAGACAAAATAAATATAGAAGTTATAAAGGAAACATAACTATCACGTAAAATGGTATGAAAAAGTTGACACGTTTTTCTCGACATATTTCTGTGAAGACATTCTGTCTATATAATGTAAGGCTATAAACTACAATATTTCAGACACTAACTCCTCACAATAATTGGTCACTGTTCACAGCGACACACACGACGAAAACATATTTTTGTATTTTATCTTTTGTATATTATTTCTATAATAACGTAACTCATTTGATTGTATGAATTCAGTTGTTAATTTACGTGTGTCATTCATTATCTTCTTACCCTTATCCTAATAATTTGGGGTCGGCGTAATATGATTTTGTCCATATTACAAAAAGACTTGGTTTTTAGTTTTACGACCGGCCACCTGCCTGACGTCAACCCTCTTTGGGAATTGTAAGTATATGCATATTTATATTAGAAAAAAAAATAGTTTCCAATACAAATTTAAGAAATCGACTTGGTCTGGGATATTTTTTATTCAATTACTAGTAACACTGAAAAAAAAGGCGTGTCTGTTTTAAATTGAGACTGCCAAATATCAATTTAGCTGACTACATGTTAACATGTTTTTGACGTGTGTCATAAATGACTCAAATAAGTGTTTAGAATAGAATAGAATAGAATAGAAAACATTTATTGCCAGTAAACACACAATCACAATAGAAAATATAAAAAAAAATACATATACAAGAAGTATCCCATACTAGGCAAAGGAACCGGCTCAGCTGATGCTGTGAGTATCCCAGCGCAATGTAAACAGCTGCACAGTGCTGGCTTTTAGTCAGTCCCTCTCTTAATCTTATCTATCTATCTATCTATCTATCTAATTGTTTGAATTTATTTTTAATTATTTATCCACTAACAGCTTTTGTTTGATGCTTACATTACATTGAGTTGATTCTTAGGAGGCGTAAATAACAAATATTATTATTATACAAATAAAGTGAAGCTGTAGTTTTTTTTTATGGGTGAAAATGGTATGGTAACCCCGCCTGTGCTAACGGGATACGCTAGCGGAGCACCAGTGAAGGGTGATAGATGAGAATGAAAACAGGCCAGTTAGCCCATCATGATGAATTCATCAGGAATTAACCATGATAGTTTCCAGGGGGAACTGCGAGGAGGAGGTCGATCTGGTTGGGTATATTGCTAGCAATGGGATTTTCAGTCTCCATTACTAATAATCCCTTTCCCCCCAGTGAAACTGTAGTTGCTTGATACCTGTACTACACCGCCATGTATTTTTATAATCAATGATAATAGGGGGGAGGGGGGGGGGCTAATAGACTGTTAAAAATAAGAATTAGTAACCCCATTATCAACCTCCTTGCGGTTCCCCCTGGAAACTATCGTATTCTATTCCAAGTGAATTTATCATGATAGGCTAACTGACTTGCCTTTTCATTGTCACCTATTATCTCTCACTGGTGCCCCGCCAGCGTATACCGTTAGAGCAGGTAGAATAACCATTCCCTTATCATCAAGTAAAAAAAAATTAATGATAATGAAATGCTAACCCCGCCTGTGCTGGGTTACATACACTGGCAGGACACCAGTGAGGGATGATTAGTGAGAATGAAAAAGCAGGTCAGTTAGCCCATCGTGATGAATTCACCTGGAATTCACCACGATAGTTTCCAGCGAAAACGCGTGGAGGTCGACTTGATAGGGTATATTGGTAGTGATGGGGACTAACCTCTCATTTCTTGGGGGGGAAAGGGATTGTTAGCAATGGAGTTTTACAGCTCCATTACAAGCAATATGCCTTATTAGGTCGACCTGCACGTGGTTTCCCCTGGAAACCATCGCGAACAATTCTTGTTGAATTCGTCACGATGGGCTAACTGACCTGCTTCATCCTCATCTATCATCCTTCACTGGTGCCCCGCCAGTGTATACCGATAGCGCGGGTGGAGTTACCATTCCATTATCATCCATTAAAAAATCCTCCTATTTCTAACAATCCCTTCCCCCTATCATCATGTGTTAAGTGCAGTTTTCATACTTCATCATCATCACATCAGCCGATAACTGTCCACTGCTGAATATAGGCCTCTCCCTTTTGGGGGGTTTTGCTAGTAACTGACAATGTAGCGCAATAAAAATTTATCAACGGCGCATCCAGCGTTTAAAATACCTAAGCATTATTTATAAACAAAACTACATAAATATTTCGGAAATTTAGAGAGAGAGGGAGTACTCACTCGGTATGAGACGCTTTTGAAGTCGGGTTCAAACCGCAAGAGCCGCTCCCGGGTAAGAATTACGAGTATAATTATGCAAACAATGCACCACTTATATATATTATACAGACAAGTATATAAGTTCCTTGAAAATGTGCCTACGTTCTAATGTTGTTAATAATATAATTTCTCGATGACGCCTTAAGAGAATAAATTTATGTAGGTATGTGATTTAGCTCCCTGATAGTTAGTAAAGTATTGACCTAAATTAAAATTGGAAAATTGAGTTTCAATAATATATCTATTTAAAAAAAAATATATTATACCTATATAACCTAGTTAAATACTGAAAAAATTAAAAAAGTGTTTATTTGTTAACATCAATTTAATTTTAGTTAAAATAATTACAAAGCGTTGAATTAATATATAAACGTTGGTAGAAGGGGGAAAACCGAGTGGTAGCGTTCATTATTAAGTTCCCTTAGTCGCCTCCAACGATACCCGTGGGAAAGAAAAGGATGGCCTATTCCATGCCAGGACCACACGGCAAACCTTCACACACGAAAGCGGGCAAAGTTACAGAAAACAGTATTTTGCGTATATATAAATAGTTTATTTTTTCTTAAATGTTTGTCTATCTGTTAATTCAAAATGTAACACTAAGTAAACAGTTCATAAAGAATATCCTTTATAGATCAAAACGCAAATAATCATCCTCCAGTGAGCAGGTTGTGTGAAAAGGAACGTCCATAAAATCGATCACATAAAATTTTTGATAATCACAGCAACAAAATATATTGTAATTACAAATTTGATACAAAGCATTTTATTGTTAGGTATCTCGTAAATTCAAGGCATGTACTAAAATTTTATCTCGTCGGCTGTTTACGGACACCCGACGCTCGAATAAAAAAAAAAACAAAGCGAACTAAACGTTACAAGATTAGTTTACTACGTGATGTTCTGTAGACGGAGAAAATTAAAAAGTTTGTCCTTATAGGTCCAAGGCAAAAGAACAATAACCCGTCCCAACATCTGCCACCCAGTGAACATTTTTATTTTCAGTTTAGTATGTTGTTTGTTTTGTAACTTTTATATTATTACAATATCTGCAGATTATAATAATATAAAAGTTAGAAAAGGTTTTTTTGCTAAATATCTGGAAAATTATTTGTTCTTAATAAAATTTAATAAAAATTTATACTATGTCTATGCAACCAGTTCGTTGAATTTGAAAATTTTGCACCATGAAGCTTCTAGATCTTTTATGATACCTATCGACTTTGTTATTTAGATATGATTACATAGATACATTTTCCAGTATCCTTATTTTAAATGCAGTGCCAACTCTCAAATATCGTAGTGATTACTTAATCTGCGGTTCTTTATATTTTACATTTTCATATTTTAATATAATGTATAATAATACTAATATTATTTGTTGTTTTTATACTAGATATTAAATTAAATTCAAATCAGATATATGTGTGTACATATATATACATATACGAGTATATCGTAATTCTCAGTTCATCACAAAAGTAGATTAGTAAAGAATGTTACTAGCATTAAGTCCGCCATTTGTATCATATTTTCTTTTGGTCAATAAAGTTATTTAAATAAATAAATATCATTCCATCCGAAGGGTTTTGATGTTCCTCATGAGCATAAATTACATTTATGATGTTAAAAATTATGCAATATTTCTTTATTTTACACATAATTTCCTTCACTCCAATATGTTTTTATATCG